TTTTTTTTTTTTTTTTTTTTTTTTTTTTTTTTTGCTTTATTCTGTAATTTTTAAACTTTTTATAGCACTTTCACTATCTGGGTGCTACTTACAACTTGTGTCTGCTATATTTAGCTTATTTATGCTAATTTTAGCTTTTTCTTTGATTGTGGCTGTAGTTCGGATTATTTCTGCTATTTTTCTGCTTTTGTGCTTTTTTCTCCTAATTTGTACTATTTATGCTTTTTACAGATGTTTTCAGCTAAATTAAACTGTTTTAGCTTTTAGCTGTTTTCTCTTGTTTTCATCTGGATGTGTTCTCCTCTTTTTACTGTTTTTCTGCAAAGTCAGGCTTTTTTTCCTTTCAGCTTTTCAAAGTGAGCCCACATTAACACATTTCCTATTAAATATTTTTAACTCAATTTCAGCAGCTTTCAGCTTAACTTTTCAGCATGAAGCGTTCACACTAGCATTTTTTTGCAGGAAATGCAATTTCTCTAGTTTTTCTAATATTTTCTTCATAAAAACACTAAGATGTCGTTATTTTTTCAAAACTGTTTTATTTAAAATCTGAATGTTTTTGGTTCTTGTGTTAATTTTAGATTTCTAACTTTCTATTTCTTTAGGTTGTTGCTTTTTTAGCTGCCACTTTGCTCTTTTGGCTTTAAGCTACAGTTTTTCCTCTTTTATATTTTGTTACATTTAGCTAGCCTTCTGCTGTTAGCAAGAGAATCATGTTTAGCTTTTAGCTCGCATTTTGTTTCCTTTAGCTTTGAAAACTCAAGCTCAGCTTGTTTTGCAAACCTGAAGACTTTTGGCTTTTTATGGAGGGAGAGAGGAGCTGGAATGGATTCTCTGTTGCTGTTTCTGCAGCTAAACTCACATGCAGATGATTCTCCCTCCCCTCCCTCCTGAGGGTCATTAAACTTATCTTTACACTTCCTGTACTTCTAATCACAGGAATTTGTTCTCAGGTTAAATCAAAGTTATGTTAGAATTCTGTCAACAGCTGTTTGATTCAACTTTTAATGGTTTAAAACTGAAACCAGAGGAAAATCTGAGGAAATGAAAAGATTAAATTAAAGTTTTAGAGACTTGTGTTCACAAACATCGTGCTCGGTTCCTCTCTGTCTTTCCACATGTTGTAGCTGGAGTCTCCGTTCCTGAAGGAGCTGATGGCGACCTGACCTGAACACACACACACACACGCACACGCACACACACACGCACACAAACACACACAAATAATTAACAAATGAACACTTCAGAACATCCCCAGCATCTCTTCATCATCTCCTCACCTTCAATTATCTTCTGTTTCAGATCACCAGAGATCTTCTCGACGTCCATTCCCAGAACGTTCCAGCTGCTCGTCGTCTCCAGGTACCGATACACCTGGATGAGGGGGAGGAGCCACTCCAGCTCTGCTGTCGCTGACCCAGGTGGCAGACTGATGAGTTCTCTGAGGGTTTCAGGTCGGAGGATCACCATCACAACTTCCACGGGAAGCTCCCCTGGTGCATCAGAACACATTCAGGCAGATTATTTCTGCAGGAGGAACTTCCTGTTTCTGTTACAGGTGCAGCACACCTGACGTTTTCAACCTGTCACTGTAAAAACCATCTGAGTGAAACCCTCTGAGATGATAGTGTGAGTTCACCGTTAATGGTCAGGAGTCTCTCCACAACCGAGTCCGGCACGATATTTTCTGGAAGACTGTTCTTCAGAACCACAGTCCTCTTCTCTGAGCCTGCACAGAACCGATGTCAGAAACATAAAACACTGCTGGAGCTCAGAGAGAACCAGAGATCTGCTCCAGCTGGTGCTCCGAGCAGAACCAGTAGAACCAGCTACAACCACAGGTCTTATTACCGTAGAGTCCCTGTGGGTCCAGTCTTCCTCCAGAATTTACCTCCTGTCTCACTCCTTCAGGCTGCAAACACAGCAAGGCTGAGGTTAAAGACAGAACCCAAACTGAACCCTAACAGAACCCTGACAGAACCCAAACATACCACCACACGCAGCGTCTTCTTCACCACGTCTACAGGTCCGGCCTGTGTCTTCAGGGTGAACGTCAGAGTGTGTTCTCCGGGCTGCAGGCCCAGAACTGTGAAGCTCACTTTACCCACCCCTCCTGCATAGAGGCGGTTCCAGGTGCAGGCCGTGGAGTGAAGCCCCTCCCCGCCGGCTGGCTGGGACTGCAGCAGGCAGAGCGCCGGCCCAGCCGTCAGCGTCACGCAGAACTGAGGGAATAAAAACAGAAAAGAGTGAGACGGTGTTTTTGTTTGTTGCGGGGTTCCACAGGGCTCAAAACTCGAGTCCCCTCTTCCTTTACATTATACTACTTTATTCTGATTTGTTCTTCATTTAAAACATCATTTTAACCATGTTTTGCATGTCTGTGGTCATTTATATGTCATCAGTGGTGGACAGCACTAATCCGAAAATTAGCTCTGTAATTTCTAAAGCACTTATGAAAATATTTAAGTCTGCAACTTCAAAAACGTTTATGCCATAGAAAAATTAGTGGAAGCTAATTCTAAAGCACAAGTTTAATTCAACACTTACTAGTTGGAAACAATTGCACAACACTGCCAATTAGCAGTGCATGAACCCTTGTACAGCTTAATCCTACAAGCGTCGATTGCTGGGGATGTGATTTCCTGAAACAGACCTTTGGCTCCTGGTGTAAAAATTAAAACGTTGTTGAGGATTGCTAATTCGGCTGCTTCTTTGTCTTTTTCTTTTGTTTGTTGTAGATTTTTCATTAAAGAAGCATCAATAAAGCAATTTTAAAACTGTTTATTGGAAAACTGAAGCGATGCATTCTGGGTACATGACGGATTTGATTTGTGATGGAAAATGAAAGTTTTCCATGTAGTTGCTCCAGTTGACCACTAGATGTCAGTCTCACCCAGTTGGCGGATTGCTTCGACTAATTACGTCAAGTATTGAGCTCCAGCGTTTAAACTTTTTTGAAAGAAGCTCCGATTGTAAAGTAAAATAAATCAATACATACAAAATTTTAGTATGGATTACACACGTTTACCGTTTTTGCTGGGAAAGGGAGTTCTAAACATTGCCTTCCTGCTTCGTAAGCAGACACAAAGCATTGTGGGAAATCAGAACCAAGACCGAGAGCAAATGACAGCAAAGATGTATACGTTTCCAATACGTGTGATTATTTAGAAGGGGTGCTGTTGGACAGATCACATGTGTTGTGATTCATTGACAGTCATACCTTCCGCTGTTCAAGATAATGATGACTGGGAGATAATTAGTTATTAACGGTACTGCATTTTAATTTTAGAAAGCACAAATCTGCTTATGAATTATAAAAATTTGTTAGACTGCTAAAGTGCAAAATGTTTATGTCGGCAATTAGCGGATTTGTGCTTTAGCAGACTGGTGCCCACCACTGTATCTCATGAACTACAAGATGTATTTTAATAAAACTCTCAGACAGTCATCTTCATACATGCATCTACAACTTATTAAGTTAGAGAGTAAACTTAATTCAAGACAGGACCCACAGCAAACTGATCTTAGCCAACACAACCAATATATTAATAACAGTCATTTTTACACATATTCAGCTACAATATGATGTAGTTGTTTTGATTTGATGTAGGAACTGCAGGTTCTAAGCCCATACCTACGTACTGACTTTACAGAGAATCATGGGAAATGTAGCTGAACACAAGTTTGTTACCATGATGCTATCGATCCCATGGTTGTACACGGAGCCTTGCAGCTCCAGCTGTTCTCCTCGGACCACCTGGTAGGGCAGCGGGACATCCACGCTGAGCGGCAGGCTGACCGACACATCCACAGGATCTGCGACACACATCCCTGAGGGACACCGAACCTGGTTTACTCACCTCTAAACGCAGCAGCAGAACCACACAAAATAACCCGAACGAACTCAAAGGCTAGATGAAGAAAACCAGAACTACGGAGGATAAAAACTGTACAGAATCTCCTGACAAAAGAGGAGATGAAGAACAGAACACACCTGAAACCAAACTGTTCCACAGGTGAAATAAAAAACAAAAGATAAAGAGAAGAAGAGCAGAAACCCACCGTTCTGGAACATGCCGACAGCTTTAATTTGCCAGGTGGTCAGAGAGTCGGGAAGTTTTCCTCTGACTTTTAGCTTGTTTGACCTGAAGACAAACAGAAGCTGAAGGAACTGAAGTCATAAAGATGAGCTTAAATTAAAGATGATTTATTCAGCTGTTTTAATAATCTGTGGAAAAAAAGACTTTAAAAAGTCTGAAGTATTTATCAGATGTTTAAAGAGGAATGATCAGCTTTAGCTACAGTTGAACTAATCTAAACTTTAGCCCAGGGGTGCCCAAACATTTTCCCTGAGAGGGCCAAAAACTAGCTATAACTAAAAGTAGCCAAACACCAACTTAAAGGTTAGTTAAAAGCTAAATGTAGTAAAGGATCAAAACTTTTCAAGGAGAGGACAAGACATGGTGGAAATGAAACATAAGTTGTCTGGTTTCTTTTGCTTGAAYACATTTGTTGGTGTGCAATAGTTTGATGACATAATGTAGGTGATATTTAGTTGTCAGGGAACAGGGAATGCATATTGTAGCATTCTGCTGTGTTTGGCTGTTTGTCATGTGACTGCAGTGGAGGATTGTGGGTAGGATTCATGTTTGTTGTTGTTAATCATTTTAGGGAATTGGTTAACATTGTTCTTTCAGCAATTAGTCTGTTGTGTTACTGTAATTTGTGTGTTCGTTATTTGTTAACTTGTGTTGAAGGGTTCAGCAGAAGTAACCATAAGTGAGAGTGGTAGGCCTAGTCATTAATAAGACCTGTGAGTTTCACTTTGTCTGTGTTGTTCATGAAGAAGAATCCAATAAAGGTTCTTCAAAACTGCCACCTGGTGGTGAAGTCTTGAACTACAACAAGAGCTACACCTCTSTYTGYAGCTGTGAGGTGTCATGCTACAATATTGTGCTTGACTCTTGTGTACTGTTATAAAGAACTTGTAAGATTTACTAGAAAAAAATCCTTGTAATGATTTACACTAATGTTGGGTAAGTAAATTTAAATGCTACAAATTCAAGCAATATTTACTCATCATTATCTAGTAAAAGTTATTAAGAATAAAGTTAAAGATTTGTGAATAAATCTTAAATAAATATGTTACAAGATTTAATTGAGCAAATTAAGTAAAATTTACCTGATTTATTCACAAATATTTAACTATATTCTTGATAACTTTTACTAGATAATGATGAGTAAATATTACATGAATTTGTAGCATTTAAATTTACTTAACAAACATCAGTGCAAATTTGTTAGAGGATTTTTTTTTTCAAGTACATCTTACAAGTTATTTTTTTCAGTGTGCTGTAAAATTGATTTTATCTCTGAGGTCAGAGATTCAAGTTTCAACAGACTTCAGTTATATTTGAACAAAAACAAACTGCACACACGACAAATTAGAAAAAAAAGCGTAAAGGTCGTGACTTTGGCGCAGGTTTTAGTATTTTCTGTAAAGCAGCTGAAGTATGTTTGGTTTCCGTCACCTTGTGCGCTGAACTTCCCACAACCAGCTCTCTGGAAAGTAGCTTCGGATCAGAGATGGAGCCAGGTCAAAGTCTGCCCCCAGTTCTGCACACAGACACAGGTGTTACGGTTTGTTCAGGATCCCGGGGGTCACCTGAGGCCTCTGGGACAGGTCTGGACTCACCGTATCGTCCCAGCACCAGTCTATCGTTCTCGTCCAGGTTCTGCAGGAGGAACTCGCAGCACTCTCTGAAGGCTGTTTTGCACTGCTCGAACTTCCCTCCCTGTTTTCTGAATCTCTGATCGGCGTACTGACTGCAGGTCACGCTCTTCGGGATGTGCTTCATGCCCATTTCACAGCACTTCCTCACCGGGCCGTAGGTACTGGCTGCACAGAGTCAGAAGCACCATCTGGACTCAGCTGCAGGTAGAAGTTTACAGGTGGAACTGGTGAACACACCAGGTGTGATCAGGACCTCTCACCTTTCTTTGATTTTTGCTCTTCAGTTAACTCTCGTTTGGAACGAACAGCAGCTGTACACAGCTCAGCTAAAAAAAAATGGTAAACAAACAAACAAATAAACAAACAAACAGGTAAACAAACAAAAAAAACCCACCAACACAGAAGAGCTACATTAAACTCAGACACTCAGCTGATAGGTTAATTTATTAGTTAATTAGCAGAGGATGGATGGATGGATGGATGGATGATGGATGATGGATGGATGGATGGATGATGGATGGATGGATGGATGATGGATGATGGATGGATGGATGGATGGATGATGGATGGATGGATGGATGGATGGATGGATGGATGGATGAATGGATAGATGGATGATGGATGGATGGATGGATGGATGGATGGATGGATGGATGGATGGATGTTAGTTGCTTTATTGATTAATTGATTGATGTACCACTGGATGATGAATGGATGGATGGATGGATGGATGGATGGATGGATGATGGATGGATGGATGGATGGATGGATGGATGGATAGATGAACAGATGAATGGATGGATGGATGTTGAATGGATGGATGATGGATGTTAGTTGATTGATTGATTGATTGATTGATTGATTGATTGATTGATTGATTGATTGATTGATTGATTGATTGTTCCACTGGATGATGGATGGATGGATGGATGGATGGATAGATGGACGGATGAATGGATGGATGGATGGATGGATGGATGGATGGATGGATGGATGGATGTTGAATGGATGGATGATGGATGTTAGTTGATTGATTGATTGATTGATTGATTGATTGATTGATCCACTGGATGACGGATGGATGGATGGATGGATGGATGGATGGATGATGGATGGATGTTGGTTGATTGATTGATTGATTGATTTATTGATTGATTGTTCCACTGGATGATAGATGAATGGATGGATGATGGATGGATGGATGTTGATTGATTGATTGATTGACTGATTGATTGACTGTACCACTGGATGATGGATGGGCGTTGGCGTTGGTCATGAAGGTGAGGCCAGCCAATTGGAAGACGTCTGCGTTGTCTTTGCCCCCGCCTCCTCCGCAGCCCTGGTCGCTCAGCTCGATGTGACGCAGGACCTGCGGGCCACCGTACATTCTGTTACAGAACCAACCCTGCTGTTCTACACAGGAAACATGTGGCTGAGTGGTTTTTACACACTTACCATGTAAACAGGGTCTCTGTAGTTGGGTCGGAGGGAGAAAAGGGCGGAGTCAACTGCAGACAGAGCCACCAGGCCATCCTGATTGGTTCTGATGTCCAGATCAATGTTTCCTTTTGGTTTGAAGGTTTGTTGTTGCAAAGAGACACCGACCTGACAGAAAAACCACAAACTGATGGAACTTAACGGCTTCATGTAGCTTAGAGTTCTGTAAGAAACTGTAAATGAACTAAAATAAACCCCTCCTCCTCACAGCTGATTGGACCAGGCAGTTATCAATCCAAACAATGAACAAAATATTTAAAACTTTTTTAGACCCTGAAACATTTGGCCTGACGTCCATGGTGGGTTCACCTGTAGTCCACTGAGACAGTTGTCTTTGACGTCCATCCAGACGGAGTCGGCCACCAGCTCGGTGGTCCCCTCACCGTGCAGGACGTAGTAGACCAGCAGCCGGATGGACGGCACCATGTCGCTCGTCACCAGGAAGTTCAGCGTCTGTTTTCCATCGGCGGTGTTGACAAAGTCCACGCTTCTGAAATACACCACCTTCCCTTTGGAGAGCACCTGAGAGGGAGTGGGTGATGCATCGATAACCATAAAAATGGGACAAACAGTAACGTCCGTCACCATCTTCTCACCAGGTAGTTGAGGGATTTGATGCGCAGGAAAGAGGGCGTGGCCGAGTACACGTGGATGTTGGCGTAGTTCCCCGTGGAGAGGCTGCGGCCGAACATCGGCACGTCGATGTAGAGGTACCGTTGGTTTGGGGAGTGATAGGCCACCGGTTCCAGGGTCAGACTGGCCTGACTGGCAGACGGGAGGGTGGGGTCCGCCGTCTCAAACTGGGTCAACGACAAGACGAGTAAACAAAGAGTGGACGGGCAGGCGATGGGTAAACAACGTGTAACAAACAACAACAAACAAATACATCCGAATGAATGAGCAAAACGAAACAAATAAAAACCAGAGCTGAATGCCTGCTGAAATCTGATGAAGAAAAACTGATTTGTTAAAGATAAAAGAAACAAGACACTATCTAGAAGCTAAAAGAGAAGAACGCTACCTGAAGCCTAAAGTGGCAAAATGTTAATTTAAAGCAGCAAAAGCCTAGCTAAAAGACTATGAAATGGCCAAAGACAGCAAAAGTCTAGCAAAAAAACTAAATGTAGCTATAGGTTAGGTAAAAGCTACAAAGCAAGGTAAATAAGTAAAAGCTGAAAGTAGCTATATGTTAACTAAAATCAGCAAAAAACTACCTTTGTGCAACAAAAGACTAGCGAAATGTTAAAGACAGCTAAATGCTAGCTAAAAACCTAAATGTAGCAAAAGCCTAGGTAATGAGCTGAACATCTGATAAATTAAAAACTAAGTTGGCTAAAAGAGCACAAAGCTATCTAGAAGATAAATTTAACCAAGAGCTAGCCAAATGCACAAAATCACTTGCTAACAGCTAAAATTAGAAAAACCTGAGCTAAAAACTAAGAGTAGCAAAAGTCAACTAAAACCTAAAACTTCAAAAGAGGCTAAATAAAAACTGAAAGTAGCAATATGGTAAAATAATGGCTAAAATAGCTAAAGTAGCACAGGGCAAGCTAAAAGTAACAAAAGACTAGCAAATTGATAAAGGCTAGCTAAAACTAAATGTCATCAAAAGTTTCCAAATCAAGTCACTTAAATGAGTTGAAAGTCTGCATATGAATACCTAAAAGTAGCACAAGGCAAGCTAAAAGCTAAATGTAACAAAAGGCAAGCTAATAGTTAAAAGGAGCTAAAGATAGCTAAAAGCTTAATGTAACAAAAGGCTAGCTAATAGTTAAAAGGAGCTAAAGATAGCTAAAAGCTTAATGTAACAAAAGGCTAGCTAATAGTTAAAAGGAGCTAAAGATAGCTAAAAGTTTAATGTAACAAAAGGCAAGCTAATAGCTAAAAGTAGCTAAAGATAGCTAAAAGTGAAATGTAGCAAAAGGCAAGCTAATAGCTAAAAGTAGCTA